TCTTAAGACCGATTGTGAGAAGAGCTGAACTGTACTTTGCAGATCTTATGGACGCCACCATCAGAAGACTCGTGGCGATGTGACGACGTCGAATTTGTGATTGACTACGTAAACACGACATCTCGCGGCTCATGGACGGTAAGTTCTTGCTCAGGTTTGTGCTTCTCCTACCGCTCTTCAGGCAGTATTGCTCATTTTCCAGGTACCTGTGGATGCTCCTTCTGAACTTGTGGTCTCTACCATGCCTGGCACCCGATGGGAAGTGAAAATGCGTACGCAGACCGTCGAAGATGGTGCGAAACCTCAGACGAGTAAATGGAGTGAAAAGGCTTCACTCACCACGCAGTCGCTGCCTGGAGAGCTCTTTGTCACCGTGGAACCCACAGGACCCCGGGAAGCACTCGTCACATGGGATCTCCCAGACAAGGTGTGTCGTTAGGTCTGTGTCAGACCATGGGATTGTTTATGGAGTCCATTATTTCAGGATCAGAAATGGAACTATGGAGTGGATATCTCGTACCGTTTGAAACAACTTGGTGGATGTAACGAAGCAGCTACTGGACCCCAAGAACCGATCACCAAGTTGAACATTCCAGGAGAAGCAGGTCCCACTGGAGGAGCTTGCTCCGGGAAGTGTTTATGAGGTGAGTTTGAGCTCCCACTCTCTTCTGCGGATTCTAGAAGTGACCTATTCAGGTGACGGTGACCCCACGTCGTCCTCCATCCCTCATTCGTCGATCGTCGCCCCGAAGACTGTGCGAACATTCAAGACCAAAAACGACGTGCCCACCGGACCGCCAATGAATCTGCAATCTTCCCTTCGCAAAGATACTGAACTGGGTAAGCTGGCCCTCTTTTTCAGCACTTCGTGGGTAGCCATAAACCTTTTGTGATTAGGCTTCAAATGGGACGCTCCGGAATGTGTGCACCAGAACGGTAATGTGTCCCAGTACGAGTTCGAGTTGGTCGGTATGGATGAGTGGAACGAGGGCACCCGAGAGGGTGTAACTCCCCGTACCAATGCCATCATCGATCAACTTCAACCCGGATCACTCTACCGAATGAAGGTAAGAATTCTTCCCCTACTAGCTGCCCATTCTGGCACGTTCACTGTGGCTTGCAGGTTCGAGCTTACACCGCTGAAGGACCAGGACCTTGGTCTGACCCGCTGGAAATTCGTACCACTGGCTCTGAACTTGGCTCTCCACGTGAACTTACCGCAGTACAAACGAAGAGCACCGCTATCCAACTCACATGGCTGCCACCGTACCCCGAAAAAGCAGTTGTAACTGCTTACAGGATGAGATATAGCCCTCGGTAAGGTCCTTATTAGTGAATATGGCCAAAATAAGTCTTCAACCTTCATCTATAGAGCTGATGACTCAAATCCAACGGAGATCGAGCTTTCTGGAGATGAACTCTCGTGCTCAGGCTATAAAAGCCCCATCATTACCGGGGCCAATCTGTGCACAACTGTGAAGAACCTGCAACCAGCAACGACTTACCGATTTGCTGTACAGGTGAGTTCGAGAGCAACCCTCACATGATCAAGTTCGGGACCTGTTTGAATACGGGGGCATTTCCAGGGTCAATCGGCTTCCGGAACGTGGGGCGAATGGTCCAGCGACTATTTCTCCACCACTAGAAAAGACGACAAAGAACTTCTCGGAGGCAGTTTGAAACTGCTCTCTGCTGGACACGACAACCTCAAGGTGAAGTGGACTCCCCCGGCTGTCATCGGCGAGAAAATCGATACCTATCAGGTCTGTGTGGAATTTTCCTTAATTGTGAAGTTTGTAATCCCGATTAGGAATGATTAAAAGAACCATACCTGTGAAAGAGATGCATCACTAGGAAAAGGGTCAACTTGGAGTTTTCAGCTGTTCATTTCGGTCGCCAGTGAGCTGGACCAGAATCCCAGAGAGTACACAACGCCCGGATCGCAGACCGACTACCATTTCAGGTAATTGCAGGTCTTCATATCATGGCCTTTGCTCTTTTTAGTGTTTCCTGGGCCGGGAGGTTTCCCACTAGTCCAGCTGACTGTTGTGCCAGAAACAACAAATGGGAGGGTTTATTTTTGGCGACGTGGTTCGTACTTCTTCAAGATGCTATGGGAAGAGCTTTTTCAGAAAAGGTCCAATTTTCACTAGCCTCAGATTTCTGGGATGAATTCCACCATTTTTTTACGCTCTCGAGCTGAAAGTGTGTCAAGTGATCCAGGTTCAACATCGCCCATAGAAATAGCCAGCGGGAGTGCTGCAAGTTAATTGTTGGGGACAGTAGTTAAATTTTGAAATCGGCTCACCCTCAGCAGACCACTAACCGTGTTTTCTGACCTAATGGCGCTGGTCTTGCGCACCCAGGATCTGATCAACTCCACTAGGACGGAGAAGCACGCACACTGACCAGCATCTGTTCTTGTTGTGTTTCAGGCAGCTCGACTCAGTGACCCAGTACAATGTTACCGTACAAGGCCTTTCCGGCAGCAATAAGCTCTGGTTCATTTCGTCCGTATTCGCCACCACCGACTTTGGTACGAATTATTCCCCTGCGATTTTCGAGGATCCGCTACATCTATCAAATTTTATCGCTTTCAGCCGAAGGTCTGCTCAGCTGGCTCCCAGCCCCCACTGACCTGCACTTGATCGAGAAGTCAGACACCATGCTGCACGTGGACTGGGTCCCTCCTGAGATTTTCGACGCCGAACAAAGAGAACTGCTCACTCACTACAGGTATGCGTACGTTACTATTGGTATTCATCCTGTCTACTTTTCCCAGGTTAACCTAGCAACGTTCAGGGTCACCATTGCACCATTCGATCCTCGCAGCGGAGTGACCGGACCGAAAAAGAACTACACGGTCCCAGTACCAGGAAATTCGATCAAGTTCGAGGGTCTAAACCCAGAAACCATCTACAATATCACCGTACAAGCAGGAACAAGCTCGGGTTATGGTCCACATACTGTGGGGAACCTACAGTACCCTGGCACCTGGACAACGACACATCATTCGGCTTGTGAACAGGTGGGTTTGCTCAGAATTGGATGAATGGGAAATTGGAGGCGGAACTTAAATCACGAAAAATGGTATGCCTTGGACGAGTTATTGCTATCGCATTACCGTCGGTTGCATCGCTTGTGTGTCAAGTCGGAGCGCAGCTGAAACTGTTTCAGACCACTTACATTGTGACAGCGACAAACTCGTCCATGCACGCCCATTTTGTTTCTGATGTAGTGCCCTTGCGAAAAGTTGTTTTGATAATTTTATTTCAAGGTCTCCGACAACGCTGCACGTGGAATGGGAGCCTGTTTGGGGACGCAGCCACAGCGGTTACACTTGTGAGTGTGCTTGAATATGGCATACATGCATAGTGCTCCTAAAAGTTTCATGGGTGGTTCG